TGGTGGTGGTGGTGGTAGCAGTAGAAGTGGTAGTAGTAGTAGTAGTAGTGGTAGTAGTGGTAGTAGAGGTAGTAGTGGTGGCAGTAGTAGTCGCAGGAGTAGTGTAGCAGTCGCCCACCAAAAACCCAAAAGACCCTAAGCCGCAGACCCCCTAGCACGATCCATCATGAGTAGTCCACAGAACATGCTTGCGTGCTGCACATTGCATAGCCCAAAGTCAGGCGACTGGGACAGGCTGCTTCTCGTGATTTTGCTCAGAGCTAGTGATGCAGCACTCAGCGGCATAGCAGTATGTTTTGGACTGGATTAGAAGCAGGCGTCCCAAGCTGCGCAATGGCCACTTGCTTTTAATTTGCGGCTTTACGGGCCACGTAGGATCTTCAGAAAGCTTGGAGACGAATCGAACTTCATGGTAGGCTGCTCTTGAGTACAGCGGGCTGCTCAGCCGAAAATCGGAACTCATGGCATGATCGCCAATGGTTATGGGAGGGAGGAACAGAGACAGAACCCTCAGGAGGACTCTCGCTGCGTGGGACAGGAAGAGTCACCTGAGTCTGACTGAAACCGCTGGGCATCTCCTTCCCCCGGCTCCTTCCCTCGAGCCTTGCAGTCAAATCGGAAGCAGAGGGGACAGACATCGCCCCCCTAAACCCAAAGGAGCCTCAGCAGCTACATGTTTCATTCCTCAAGGGTTGAAGGAGGTGACTATCGCACAGAATCGTTTGCACCCCCTGCCATGTCACGGTAGATACCCTGTCTCTGAATGCTGTATCCAGCCAAAACCCAAGCCGAATGAGGGTCTGGCCGGGCTTGCCCGAGAGAGTGTGCTGAAGTAAGGAACACAGCATTGGCACCAACTGAGTGCGACCCATTTCATTATATATGTCTTCATATCTGTTAGAAGAACTGTGAGTGTGTTTACCCCTGGCTGCCACCTGGCTGCGATCGCTCTCTTAGTGAAGGTGAAGAGACAACCTTTCATGAACCTGGCTGTGCCTCTTTGTAATGCACATCTACCCTTCTTCAGCAGCTGGTTTCATGGCGTTCCGTACTTGAGATGAAGCAGCAAATCCATCGGCGACTTCCAATAAATAGTTACTAGTACCCGACACATTTTGACCGAGGTTACAGGATGAGTGAAAAATAGATGGGTTGGTCAGAAACACAACGAAACCTACATATAGAATCGAAGAACAGAGCAGCAGGCAACTTAATAGAGCGTCAGGACCCTATTGCTGATATGGCTCCTAGTACGACAAATACACGACAGGCATAAGGGTCTAGGGATCTGCATATTTAGTTCCATTGTTTGTGCTTACTCCTGAGACTGCAGTCTGAGCGTGAATTCGTCGCCGGAGGCAGGGCTGTGAATGATTCCTTTCCCAGGAGGTGAAATACTTCTCTGCAGTTTAAAGTAAGCTCCACCGTGGATGATTTTATTAGGTGTTGCAGCGACGAAGTTCGTCCTGCGGCTGTCGAACACCCATGGCCTCGTCCCGAACAGACTCTGAGGTGAGGCCTTCGCCCTGCACCCGCCGAAGACACAGCTGGCCTGTCGTGGCTGTTTCTGCTCCGTCTACAGATCAACATCACTGCGACCACTTCTGCGTCGACCACTACGACGACACAACAGCGACAACAACAACAACAACCACAATCACCAACATCCACCACCAACATCCACCACCATCACCACAACAACAACAACCGTCACCACCACCACAAAGCAATACTGCTAGCACAAACAATGAGATGAACACGAGCGAGAACCATAACAATACCAAGAGCATCAAATACACCAATGACAGAACAAACTTGCTTCCTCTACCAATACTACCACCACTACGACCACCACCATCACCACAACCGCCACAACCGCAGCCACCACCGCCACGACCACCACGACGACTGCTGCCACCAACACTACCTCTAGCACTACCACGACAGCTAGGAGTAGTAGTAGAGGTGATGGTTGTGGTGCTTAGTAGTAGCAGTAGTAGTAGTAGTCGTCGTCGTCGTCGTCGTCGCAGTAAAACTCCTACCCCTCCTGCTCCTAGTCCTCCTCCTCCCCCCTCTGCTCCTACTACTCCTACTCCTAATCCCACTCCTGCTCCTACTCGCACTGCCACTGCTACTGCTACTGCTCCGTTTTCGACTACTACTTTAGCTGTCGCCGTTACTAAGACCATAGCCACTGCCACCACAACCTTTGCTTCTATGGTATTTGTTGCTGTGTCTGCTCTTCCTGTGGCTGTTATTGTATTGCTTCTGCTCTTGCCCTCCTTGTTACTGCGACCTACGTGGCCTTGGTCGCAGCGACGACAAGAACGACTAATCCCGTGGGAAGTAGGCGTTGATGTTCGAAGATCGTCCTTGTATATAGGTTTGGCTATAAAGGTTTCATGTCCCGCACCACAATGCAACGCCCCTTATAAAATGAGAAGATGCCCAATGAGGCATCGGCGAGCCTCCCAGTCCTGGCGCCCAGTTGTATACCCCTTCTTTGAAAATGATCCATCCGATGAGCGGTTGACGACTTCAAACTCCCAGGTAGTGTAGGTCTTTGAAAGTGTTTGCAAGGAAGAGGTTACTGGTGTCTGAAGTGTAGCCACGAGACGACGTCGGGGTTGTGGGGCAATGTATTCCTACTTGCGGCAACTTTGGTAAGATGAGTTGAGATACAACATCTTCAATTCCTCGGTGGACGCTTGCATGGTCAAGCACCCGTAGAGTGTGTGCAGAGGGCGTCTTGTTATTCATTTCTTGTTGCACACATGTTACTGTCGATTGTGCCAAGTCCGCACCCATCTATAGCCACCCAGGATGCTGCGTCGGCGGCCGCAAGATTCATCCGCAACATCGAGAATTTTTTATCGCCCAAGTATAATGTTCACGCCAAGCATGAGATCTGAAGTGTGTAGTGGTACTTCATCAGGCCGGATGTGCTCCTTTGCACCAATCTCGCCGTGTTCTGTTGGCTCCTGCGCCGTGGGACACCAAGACATGTTGAAAAGGGACAAGGAAGTCAGCAAGCTCCTCATAAAATTGAAAACCCTACAGAAAGGGCATTTTGGTGGAGCGCTACGGAGATGTTGATTCCCACTGGACCCCAGATGAACTGGGCCATGTTCCGGCTTCTAGCAACTGCATTGCTTCAGGATTTACATGCTTGTTTCTTCAGAACCCGGGTCTCCACCGAAAAGCTGCCATGCATCCTCAAATCTGCCCCGAAGTCCTGAAGCCCGAAGTC